GGACCTCATGCACTTGCTGCGAAGGGTCAAGGACTGCAGCCTTCACTATGGACTAAGGCTCAATGTCAAGAAGACAAAGATTCTCACCACTGGACCAATTAGCAGCGTCAGGATGGATGACGAAGAGATTGAGAGTGTTCACAGCTTCAGTTTGCTCGGCTCCACAGTCAACACTCTTGATATCAGCAGTCAGGAAATCAAAAAGTGTATTGCGATGGGAAAGTCTGCTGTTCGGGACCTCTCAAAGGTACTCAGGAGCAACAGTGTCTCTCTGGAGACTAAGGTGCGCCTGATACAGGCCATGGTCTTTGCAATCGCTTGTTATGCATCAGAGAGTTGGACAATGACTAGGGAGGACAGAAGGAGAGTGGATGCTTTTGAGCTGTGGTGCTGGAGAAGGGTACTGAATGTACCATGGACTGCCAGGAAAACAAACAGATTCATCTTGGAGAGGATTAAACCAAGCTACTCCTTGGAGGCAAAGATTCTGGGGCTTCGTCTGACATACTTTGGACATGTTGCCAGGAGGGACGGGTCCTTGGAGAGGGACATCATGCTTGGGAGGGTGGAGGGACAGTGCAGGAGGGGAAGACCCTCTATGAGATGGATTGATTCAGTGACTGGGTAATCGGGATGGGTGTGTCAGAGGCGGTGCGGTTGGCGCAGGATAGAGCAGGGTTTAGAGCTGTTGTGCATAGGGTCGCTATGAGTCGCAAACGACTCGACGGCACATAACAACAGCAGTAAAAAGCATTGTATTAAATTCTGTGCTTTCTTTTTAACCATCATGCAATTTAAAACTAGAATGGTAGACAAGTCCACCACAATATGTGACAATTCATAAAGAATACGAGGTTTGCACACATGTGCACATACAAGAAGCTGAAGAGGTAATTTCTGATCGGACGTTTTATGGAAGATATAATATTTGCGCTGACTTTTAAGAGAGGGTAGAGTTTCATCAGGTGGAGATTGGAGATAGAGTAAGGAAAAGGTGAAGGGGGAGGACATAACACAGAAATGGACAGCCTTAGTCAATGCATGGTGTTCACTTGCCATTTTGAGCTATTCAAGATCATTATACAGTAGGGAGCTCTGATGGCCCAGTGGGAAGAAACTTGTGCTGCCACCCCAAAGGCAGGCAGTTTGAATCCACCAACTGCTCTGCAGGAGAAAGATAGGCAGTCTCCTCCTATGTAATTTACAGCCTCTGAAAATCCACTGGAGGCTCAACTATGAGTCACTTGTGACTCATCAGTACATAATAACAACAAATAGAGTATATTTATGAGTGTGTTCAGATTTAAGGAAAATACATAGTGACAAGATTGCTTTTATGTAAACTTTCTTGATATGGTGTTGCAACTCCCACCAAATGACTGGATGGGATTACACAAGATATTTATAGTTCACTAAGGCGATTGGACAGTTGCTAATAATGCAAATCAGGTTTCATGACACACACTTGTGGGGTCGACTATGCAAATAAGGTGTTTGGAACCCTAATGATGACATTAGTCAGTTTTGTTATCCTTATTAGACTTCAAATTAATTATGCCAGAGGCAGAAAGAGGGAGTCTTCACACCAGTTAAAAAGAAGAGTTGGGAATGGAGTGTATCCTTTGGGCCTGCAGTTCTTGTGCTATGAACCTCCTAAATACAGGAAACAGAGTTGTAACAAAGGACTAGTGACTAAGAGATGGTTAGAAGCAGAGGTAAGTGTAAATCTACAGCAACAGAGCAAGGAGACCAGGAACAGATAGTGAATTTACCAGCCTTCAGAGAAAGAGTTGGCCTCTTTGGGTAGGAGTGTTGTTGGTGGAGTGGGGTTCCTCCAAGTACTTGTTAACTAACTAAACTTACTGACCCATGGAACTAGAGAGCTGAGTGTCTTCAGGCCAAACTTTACAGGCAGAGTAGGGTGATTGAATACTTATCGGTAGAGCTGGTGACCTTTGTGATAACTTACCCGAGCAGGACAGAGGTTAAAAGATCCCAAGAGACCTGAAAGGCTAGAAGACTAGGGAAAGCTCTGCCTGCCTTTAGGCACAGCCAGGAAGCTATCTTGACTGAAGAACTATACCCTGAGTCATTCCTGATTCTCAATTGTAACCTACTACTTCCTCAATAACAAGCCTCGGTGACCAGTGATTAGGGAGCTATCCTTCTAAACCAAAGGCAGGTGATTCAAATCCACCAGATACTCTGAGGAAGAAAGATGGGCAGTCTCCTCCTGTGTGATTTACAGCCTCTGAAACCCCTCTGGAAGGTCAGCTATGAGTCAGTTCACACACGGAAAAAGCTTCTGAAGAATATAAGCCATAATGTTGAAAGTTGTAAACATTGGCTAGTGGATATATGATTTTTTGTTTTCTTATTTTTCTTTGTCTATATTTCCCAGCTTTATTTATACTTATGTTGTGTTTATATAATAGTAGAATTATGTTTCCTCACTTACATTAACAAAAACAAGTAAGAAGGAAGTGAGGAGTGGTGAGGAAATGAATGCTGACAGAGTAAACTACATCTGAGAAATTTTACAGAAAAGGAGGAGAGATTGCATTTAAAAGATAGTTTTTAGTTGATGGCATCAAGGTGATTACACTCATGGTAACAATGTGTATACAAAGTAGAACTGTTCCATGGGCCTTTTAACACTGTGACCTTTTAGAAGGATTCACTGGGACTGTCTTCTGAGGCATCTCTGAGTGGATTCAACCAGCCAATCTTTCTAGCTGGTAGCCAAGTACCACTTTTTTTCCATTCATGGACTCCTCCAAAAATATATACCTGAGTTCAAGCTCCTCTTTTTGTGCTGGTTAGTGCCTTCAACAATCTGATGCACAGTATAAATGGACATTCTGCATTCAAAACCATTAAAATTGTATGTATACTTTTTTAAATTGCTATACACCTCTCTCAAACTCTTTCATAGACTTCAGGTGGGAATATCCTATCTAGAAATCTTTTTTAATTTAGCCTATTTGCTAGCTATTAATAAGAAACGTAATTAGTCAAGGAAAGGAACTAGTGTAGAAGACTAAAAGTGTAGAGAGATTTAAAAGTCAAAGTGAGGAGAAATTTACAATGCTATGGATGTCCAGATGAGATTATTTCGATACATATTTAAATCAATGATATTTAAATTGTTTAGTAAGGACTTTTATTATTAAAATGTTTTTATTGTGTTTTGGGTGAAAGTTGACACATTAGGTTCCCAACACAACTTGTTCAATTGTGTTTTTCAGTGTATCAACCAGCATTCTCTTTTATTCCCATCCTGTTGCTCTATTGCCAGTTATCTAATTTCCTCTTGTCTTCTCATTTTTGGTTTTGAGTAGATGTCAGCTGGTTGATCTCTTTAAAAATTTCTTAGGCGAGCTCTGGTGGCCTAATGGCAAGAGGCTGCATTGCAATCCCAGAGATGCGCAGTTCAAATCCACCAGGCGCTCTGCTGAAGAAGGAGGAACAATCACCTCCTATACCAGTCAGATTCGATTTGACAGTACACACATAAAAAAAAACAACACCAAAAAAAATTTCTTAAAGGAACATGGTACTGTCATATTTATTATATGAGTCAATCTGTTATTTAGCCAAAAGATTACCTCATGGAATTGTTTTGCTTCAAGATTTAAAGAGGATCTTTGGGGGATAGTTCAAGGAATCCTCCAGTCTTCACTGATCTAATAAGTCTGGACTTGTTATGAATTGAATTCTGTTCCATACCTTGCTTCCATTCTATCAGGATCCATCTATCGCATTCCTGATCAGAATTGTCATTATTTATTGGTAGCCAGACTCATCTGGCCCTTCCAGTTTCAGGATAAGGAAGTAGTTCATGTAGATTGTGAGTCCTGTGGCCTAGTTTCTTCTATGAGTCTTTGGTTTGCTTCTTACTCTTTGCCTTTGGACATAGTTGTATTATATAGGGCCACTCGAAGTTTTAAGACTAGAGACTTCACTTACCAAACTACCATGTAGAATCAATTGACTGAATTGTCCCAGGAGACTATGATCCTAAAGTTTCAGAGCCTGCAATCCAATCTACCAAGCTATTTGGTTAAGTGTAAGAAATATCCATGTTTTTACCCCCATGTGCTTTGTTGTTTATATGCATAATATGGGAATAGATATACTTACATATATATTGTTATTGTTTATCGCCCTATATTTGGAATCAACTCATAGCAGACACTCTGGTGGATTTTCAGAGGCTATAAACAATACAGAAAGAGACTGCCCATCTTTTCCTGAGGATTCAAACCATTTGGCAGTGTAACTTCTTACCCATTAGTCAACTAGAACTTCCACATACAAATACTACATACATATATATGCATACATAATGCCCTTGTGCTTCTTATACATTGCAACATATTTTTAAAATCCATATTCTTTATTGATATGCAGTATTTCATGGTTATGAATGTACCACATTCCCTCCCCCCCCCCTTTTTATTAATTTAAATGAACATTTACAGAGATTTTGGATTTCCATTCATTCATTGTTGCACTTTTCTCCCTGCTCACCCCACCCCCACCCCTAGTTCACTCTTCTCCTTAAAGCAAAACTCCTTCATTGGTATACAATTCCCCCACACCAGCCCCCTCGCCTAGTATACTCCACTCTGCAACCCTCATTCAGGACTCTTATGATAATCATAATCCCCTAAAATATATTGCTTTTAAACTGTTCTCTCCTTCATCAGCTTCAACGCAGTATACATAATTTATCCAGTTTTTCTCAGTCTTACCCCCACCCTGATGCCAGACTCATTCTACAACAGTGGCACTATAAGAATGTACCACATTTTGTATACATTATCAAAGAATACTTTTGTGTGTTCCAATGTGGAGTCAATGAACACAAACTAAAAAAGTGTAAGGGCCTTCTGGTTTTGTGATTCTACATCATTAATTTGTAAAAGAAGATTGAAATAAAACATTTTTTAAAAGATATTGATTTGACATTTTCTTTATTTTGCAGAAGCTTAGCAATGGAGTTTTTGTCTGCTGAGACCAATTCAACCCACCTGTTGTGGGAACCAACGGATGAACCCCCAGTTATTCTCTCGATGGTCGTTATGGGCCTCACTTTTTTACTGGGATTGCCAGCCAATGGGCTGGTATTGTGGGTAGCAGGCCTAAAGATGCAGCGAACGGTGACCACAACTTGGTTCCTCCACCTCACCCTGGCGGACTTTTTCTGCTGCCTCTCTCTACCCTTCAACATAGTTCACTTGACTTTTCAAGGGCAATGGCCGTATGGCAGGCTCCTTTGCAAGCTCCTCCCCTCCGTTATCATCCTCAACTTGTTTGCCAGTGTCTTCCTGATTACAGTCATCAGCCTGAACCGCTGTCTTGTGGTACTCAAGCCAATCTGGTGTCAGAATTATCGCAATGTGAGAACAGCTTCAATCATCTGTGGATGTATTTGGGTAATGGCTTTTGCAATGTGTCTACCGGTGCTCTTGTACTGGGAAGTATTCACTATAGGCAACAAAAATCTGTGTAGCTATAATTTTGGTGATTTTGACTTGGATTATTTCGATCCCTATTTTAATATACTGGAGAACAGATTACCTGATGATGTGTCCATCACACAGCTACCTAGGGAATTGGATGACAGATTAGATTTTTCATCTTCCCAAACAAATGATCATCTTTGGACAGCCTCCACAAAGAATTCACCAGCAATTCCCACTGGTCTCCACATGCAAACATGGCTGAGACCTTCTGGAGATTCTGTGGAATTATCCAGATTATCCGGTCAATATTCACATGAAGATCAAAGGACTGACACCCTTAAAATCTCTGATGCTCTTTTCTCTTTAGATTTAGAACTTTTCCCCAGTCCCTCTAGCAATTCTGAGTACACATATGAGCTAGCAGACAACTATCAAGCATCACCACCCCTGTTAGCAATAACCTTCACAAGGCTACTACTGGGTTTCCTGCTACCCTTTATCATCATGGCATGCTGTTATATCCTCATTATCCGCCGAACGCAACAGGGACGATTTTCCAAATCTCGAGGAAAAACTTCACGAGTGACCATGGTCGTGGTGGCTGTCTTTTTTGTCTGCTGGATTCCATACCATGTATTCGGAGTCCTAAGGATGTTTATTGATCTAGGCTCTCCCTTTGGAAAAGCTCTACTTTCCTGGGACCATATGTCCACTGCTCTAGCATCTGCCAATAGCTGTTTTAATCCCTTCCTCTATGCCCTCATGGGGAAAAGCTTTAGGAAGAAAGCAAGGTCCTCTATACAAAGCATTCTGGAGGCAGCCTTCAATGAGGAGCTCACATACTCTACTAGCTGTACTCAAATAAAATCTCTTCAGAAAGAAACACCACCAGTGCAGCTGCATGAAAATATAGAGTAGCCAACCCAGAGGTGCAGTATGTTTCTAAAAGGATGGACAATATAGTGACCAGAAGAATTTACAACTAACAACATTGTAGTCTAGTAGTTCTCAAAGTGTGATACTCAGATGAGGGATACCGGCATCAACTGGACACTTGAGAGAAATGCAAACTCTTAAGTCCTACCCTAGACTTACTGAGTTAGAATCACTTGGAGGTGGTATCAAGTAAGTCTCTGTCTCTCTCTCTCTTTCTCTTCCCCCCCCCCCACCACCACCCCTGAGCTCTTGTGGCCTAGTGGAAAGAAGCAGCTGCACTGCAATCCCAAGAAGCTACACTGTAATCCCAAGTCTCTTATTTTAACAAGCCCTCTTGTTTCTGATGCATGATAAATTTGAGTATTGTAAAAGTCTAAACATGAGAGATGAGAAACTAGTCTGGTTTTAAGTGGTTCTATCATTTTTTTCTTTTTTGACTATTATTTAACGCCCCTTGTAAATTCAATTTAAACTCCTTTCTTCTAGCTCTGCCTATGTCAAAGGTTAGAGTTGGCTTTTAAATTAAAAAGAGGCTTCCCCAAAAATGTCTGTGAAAACGGAGCTAGGAGACCGAAAAGGAGTCCTGATGACACACTGGTTAAACACTTGGCTGTCAAATAAGAGGACGTAGTCCAAAGCCATCAACAGCTCCACAGGAGAAAAGATCTAGGGCAAGTTCTACCCTATAATTTAGTATTTCTATGAGTCTTGGTAGAGTAAAGATGCCAATGCATGCTACCTGAAACCCTCTTGGGTGTTATTGTTTGTTGTTATTGTTATGTGCCGCTGAGCTATGACTCATAGTGACCCTATAAACAATGGTTCTGAACCTTGCCCTATCCTGACCCAATTTCACTGCCTCCAACACACCTCACCCCAGTCAATGTATCAATCCATGTAACCCAGGGTTGTCCTCTCTTGCACTGACCCTCTACCCTTGCAAGCATGATGTCCTTCTCTAAGGACTTGCCCCTCCTGACAACATGCCTAAAGTACATGAGACAGAGCTTCAAAATATTTGCCTCCAAGGAGCAACCTGGTTTCACCTTCTCTAGGACAGATCTGTTGGTTCTCTTGGCAATCCATGGTATGTTCACTACTCTTCTCCAGCACCACAGCTTAAAGGCATCCACTCTTTTTCTGTCATCTTTATTCACTGTCCAGATCTCAGATACATAGCAAGCAATTGAGAAGACCATGGCTTGTATCAGATGCACCTTAGTCTTTAGAGTGACATTTTTGCTCTTTATCACTCTGGAGAGGTCCTTGACAGCAGATTTTTCCCAGTACAACTTATCTTTTGATTTTCTAATTGCTGGTGCCAAGGGCATTTATTGTGGATCTGAGCAAGATGTTAACAAATTGAATCTTTTCTCTATCTATCATGATTCTGCCTACGGGCTTGGGAGTTAAGATTTTGTTTCCTTAATGTTGCAATGCAATCCATATTGAAGACTGCAGATCTTGATCTTCAGCAACAAGTGCTTCAAGTCCTCCTAAGTTTCAGTGAACAAAGTTGTGTCATCTGCATAATGCAGATTGTTGTTGAGTCTTCCTCCAATCTTGATACCACATTCTTCTTTACAAAGTCCAGCCTCTCTAATCTGTTTGGCTTATAGATGAGAAGGTATCTGGAGAAAGGATGCACTCTTTACTTGATTTTGAACTATGGAGCATTCCATTGCTGTGTTCTGGTAACTGTTGACTGATCTAGGTATAGGTTTCGCATGAACACAATCAGGTGTTCTGGGATTCCCATTTTTCTCAATGTTAGCCACAATTTGTTGTAATCCACATGGCCAAATACCTTTGCATAGCTGACCCATTGGAGGATCAGCTTTCAGTTGGTTCCAACTTGATGGCACACAATAGCAACATCTGTCTACTAGGGAGTTCTGGTGGCTTAGTGGGTAAGAAAGTGCACTGCCAACCCAAAGGTACACAGTTTGAACTCACTAGCTTCTCCTTGGGAGAAAGATGGGTAATCTCCTATCATACATTTTACTGCCATTAAAAACTTGTTGGAAGGTCAACTAGGAGTCAGTTCCAACTTGACACACATAACATCTGCCTAATAATATAATACTATTTCTCCCATTTCTTTTTTTCCACTCTTTGATTTCCAATAGTCCAAAAAGTCTTCCATGTCATACTTTTGGCCTCAAATAAACTCTAAAGTCATAATACATTAATTCTTCCACCACTTGCTCCAAAATACTTTTCAAATGCTTCATCTCAAATGAAAGAAGAAACATGGTGAAGGACAGAGAATTAGGTATTTAATCCACTGCAAAATACCTGAATACTGTACCAGACGAAGCATCAAACATTTTTCCAATATCCGGTTACCTCTGGGTTATTTTAAATTATTTTACATTTTTTCCCTTATGATTTGAGTGAAAGGTTACAAAGCAAGTTGATTTTCCATTCCAAGATTTATGCATATTTTGTAACATTAATGACAATACTCATACACAACTTTTCTTACTTCCTCCCTATAATTCTTACTTCTATTAATCCTTTATCCTACCCCTACCTATCTTCTGAACTTTCAACTCAACTCATTGCTGTTTCATAACTAACTCATAGCTGACCTTCCAGCAGGTTTTTGGAGGCTATAAAGTGCACAGAAGAGACAGTCAATCTTTCTCCCGCAGAGTTCCTGGTAGATTTGAATCACGAGAGGTGGTCAAATGCTGCCCTTTTAATCTTGTATGACTGATTTTTCTAAGTGTTGCTTTTGTTCACCTTATAAGCTTCTCTATGATGGACTGAAAGCTTAATCACAAGGGGTGAGTTCTGTCCCAAATTCCAAGGGTGTCTAAGGCACATAGTCTCAAAGGCTCTACCAGTCTCTCAGACTCTTAAGCCTGGGTATTTGTTTTACTGTGATCTCCTTGAGAGTGGTCAGCAATAGATGGCAAGTACCATCTAGTTCTTCTGGTCCCAGGATCTTGGGGGTCGAGATTAGTCTTTCGCACAAATTGTTCATATGCATTTTGGGGGTTTTCACACACATACCCCACTTTGTTCTAAATAGAAAGAGACCAACAATTGCTGCTTTTAAGATAGCTGCTCACAAACTTTCAAGATCTTAGGTGCTACACAGCAAAGTAGCTAGCATGTAGACCATTCTCTTTGTGAATGTTATACCAATTAGCCTAACATCAAACATTTACTTTGAAGACTGACTACATTTTGGGCATGTTAGCAGGGGTCAATCCTTCTAGGAGGGTAAATATATCATACTTGGAAAGGTGGAGGGTCAGCGAGAGGAAGATTCTAAAAAAAAATGGGCTGGCACAGTGACTGTAACAATGGGTTCAAGTCCATCAGAGATGATGAGGATGGCAGCACAGGAGAGGGCTGTATTCATAGGGTTGCAATGAGTCATACAGTTGACTCAACAGCACTTAACAACATACATGGGTGCATCTTCATGACAAAATTACCACATATATCTTGTGGCATTATAACTCTTTAGTCTCACCCAAGTTAATAATGCACATACTTCTAAAAAAATTAGAATTCAAAAGGACTTAGAATTAAATCTAAGACATCTCCTGGCCAACTCTGCCTACTATATACATCATCTTCTCACTTCCATTTCTAAATTATGTGTTTATGCTTATTTTTATACATAACAAAATGACTTGTTCTGATAGGTTTTTCTTCAAATGTATTTTTTGTCCAGCATAAACAATAGTTCTTAAGTTATATTTTAATTTGTTCATGTCTAAGTTTCTATCTATCTATCCTTTGAACCACTCATTTTTCTTGAATTTTTAGTATACATTTCAAAACTGGTCTTTTCAGACACTTTCTTCCCTTTTCCCCCCCTTATTTTTAAAATCATTGCCTAACTCCTAACCACCTTCTCAAACTTTTCTGCACTCAAACTTTTTGATGTGACCTTATCTATATGGATTATATATGATGACTTAATTTTAAAATCACAAATAAGATGCTTTAGCCTTGCAAGGCAGTTATTTGTTCAACAGCCAAGGGGAAAACGCTGAACTACAGTAAATTTTTTATAAGTTTCTCACAAAAAAAATTTAACTCACTAGTGATTGTTAGTTTAAGGTAATACTGTCTTTACAGATGTAAAAGTTGTACTGTTACCTTCTCACTTTGTTTATATATATGATGTAAATAAATGCTTTTGATCTCAATTTTTTGCAAAGCTCAGAAATTTATGAATCCTTGCAATTTACTGACACTTAGAGTACCTTATAAGTATACCCTGTAAGTATTCAGTAAATAAATCTCATTTTGAGTAGCTGTAAGGATCTATAATAGCCATGAGTCAGGCTTCTGGAAACCCTAACACATCCTACAAGACCTTGCGTGTAAATCCCTAACTACTGGGGCAAGTATACAGGAAATGAGAGTGAATAAATTTGGTGTAGTTAAGAAGATTCAATGTACAACAAATTGTTGACAAGTCACTGGATCCTTTTAAGAGGTCTATTTATTATAGAAATGTGTTCTAAAGAAATTCCTATAATAAGATTTCCTCAATTCTGAGGAGAAGTACTGGTGAGTACCTGTAATAATTTTAAACTATCTCATCTTCAGGAAGTTCCAAGATTTAAGTCTCTCTTCAGTATAATACATTAAATCTTTAAAATGTCCCAGAATTCAAACAAGATGGAGCTAGTCCACACATAAAGACTCAAGAGGTGGCTGACTTTCCCAATATTTTACAGTATTTAACAGCAACTGAAAAAAAAATTCATGTTAAAGAGGTGATCTTAATCCTTCTTCTCATCAATCCTATAACATTTTCAAATTAATTGTGTAGTGGGAGGAGAGGATTAAATGCTTTCATCTTTCTCCTTTCCTACCCTGACAAAGAGAAACTTGACACCAGTACCAGTAAGATATAAAATAAATAAACAAACAAACATAACATCTTTTTTTCTTTTTTATTAAGAAAGCATGCAAAAAAACAACAACAACAACTTGTGAGACCATACACCCCTTCCCAGCCTGCACCAATGCAAAGAATTATGGGTGGTAGGAAGAACTCGCCAAACCAGATACATGAGGGTTGAGGAAAAGGAAGTAGGGAGGGATGGATCTAGACCAAACAATTGTTCTTTATATCCTGTTCCCCCACTTTCTTCCCTAGTTCCTCTTGTAGGCAGTGAGCTCCTGCAATTTTGTACACAACATCCAATACAATAACAATGACTATACTTCATGCCCAGCAGTCCTGGACCAACAAGAAAAAGTAGTATTCTTTCCATTTCATGGAAGGGAGGAGAAACTGAGGCCCAAAGAGGGTCAGGTTTGTTCCACGCCATTTAGCAGGGCTGAGCACAGTGGAGGGAAGCTGGAAATCCAAGAGGCCTGACAGCACATCTCCAGCCCTAGCCCCAGTTTTCAATTATGCTGGCTTCCCATTAAGGTTCTTTATGAAACTAATTTTCAGAAGACACTGGTGAATTATAAGCAAAGGACATTTGCATGTGTGACTGAGTTTACCCTTGCAAATGTTGTGTGGATCTACACAGGAAAGAGTTTATAAAAGAGGAGCGATAATGTAGAAAGAGGGGAATCTTGAGGAGAACTGGTTGGAAGTTATGTGTAGAAGGCATCTTGAATGGAAGGAATAAGGAATAGATGCCTAAAAATAGAAACACTGGGCAAAGCCATTTTGCCACCATTTAAGAGAAATTCTCCTTTCCCCAATGGGAAATATTACATGGTACTTCAGCTATACTAACTGCCCTCCAAGGCAGTAGGGGATTCAAACCCTTCTATCCCCATTTCTTTCTTACAAAGGCTTCAAAGAAATAAAGTGCTCTTTAGTTTACTGTCCCTTCCTGCCCCTTGAGTTAAGAGTAACTGGACTTATGCTACAAACTCTCATATATAACCCCTTCCAGAAAAAGTAAAACGGGGTGGGAGGTGGGGGTTGATAAAGGGAGAAAAAGGGAAGCAGAAAGACAAATCTCCTGGAAATCATGAGTAAATAGAGAATATGAGCAAGAAAGCTCCAAGCAAGAATGACAGAGTGAGTGGCATTTTCTATTCCATTCACTTTGTCCCACAGCTTATACAGAAGTGAAAATTTAAGAAAATGAAAACAAGGAAAATTGTTCCTCTTCCTCATAACAAATATTCAACCACTACCATTAAATATACATTGAATATTTTGCAGCAATAAATCATGGCCACCCCTTGTTAAAGGAAGTAAGTTATTCTGCCATCTTTTTCTGAGAGTCCCATTGACCTTCAATGAACTCTTGCCAACGTCCTCATCCCTAAAAGCTTAACTGAAAAAAGTGTCAGCCCTAATGAACTGTATTCCAAAACAAACATTTGCCTAGATAAAAAAATAATTATTCCAAACTCCTATCTCTGCCAGATCCTTTTTCTCTCCTCACCCTCCTACCGCTAATACTATACAGATCTGACTCAACTAGAAGTGAAAAGGAGACCCCTAGCATGTCTTAGGACATGGGAAGACTCAGAGTGATAATGGGTGACACTTTTTCTTTCTGGAGGATAAAAAAAAGGGGGGGGATTAAAAAAAAAAGATGTGTGAAATATATGTCCAAATGATTAAAGAAGGAAAAATAGTATTTGGTCTTTGGGGAAAGGAGATGGAAGGATGACAATCTAAATGTAAATAAGAGCTACAGTTAATTTTAGGAGAAAAATGCTTTTTAAAAGCCAAAATGGTTGAGACTATCTCTAAGAGGCTACACTTATGCTGATTAGTTATCCTCATACCCTGCCTTAGAAGCAGAGTTCTGGCTAAAGCCAACTCTATTATTTATTTATTTATTTTTTTTAAAAAAAGGTAAGGTGAGGTTCAGCTATGAATAAGCCAATGCAAGGTTAATTTCAAGTGGCAGTATATACCCAAATTCAGGCTGATTCATATTCCATCACTCCTATACAGTATTCCACTGGACCCAACATAGGCCTCCTGTTGTGCTAAAATTTTATTGCCATCCTCCTCCACCACCATCATTGTCCTTAGCCTTTATGGGGAACAAGGATTGTCAGAAGGAAGAATTGAAGGTATAAAGGGACAGGGAAGAGCTCAAAGGACAGAATTAGCACCATTGAGTAAAACCTGCAAATTCATGACTGCCAAGCAGTGTTTTGGACCAGTCTACTTAAAAATGTGGCCTCTGAGGTCCTGGACGAAAGAACAGATTTGAAGAGAAAACAATTTAGGGCCAAAAGGTGGGATTACAAATGAAGTCCTCAAAGAGGAAAGTAAATCAGGATTTTCAACCTTTCTCTATACCTATCATGGCCTCACCTTCTAGCCTGGTGATTTTAAATTAGCAAGGAGTGGACACAGTCCATGGTGAAGGGACAGGAGACTGGGGACAGCATATAACCAATAATTATAATTATAATATAATAATAATAATAATAAAAGAACAAGAAGAGAGAATGAGGCAGGGTAAAGGGGTTATCTTCGGCAGCATCTTGCGGTGGCTTCTCTGACACAGAAAGAAAGAAAAGAGGATACGTTTATCTATATACAGGCAGGAGGAGGGATGGACTGGGGCTGCTTCTTTTTCTCCACCACCAGAGTTCACCATCCGGCCCTGGGCTGATGTCCACACTCTCTGATGTACTAAGTAATCAAGTCCCAGTCGAATTCATCAGGGATCTCCTCATTGGCACCAGGAGGGGGGACCGGTGGCCGAGGGACCATATGATGGGCTGTCAGGAAGAAAAGGAGAGAGTAAAAGGCGTGTAAGTGGGAAGCTAGTCTATCACTCAAGATAGTGCTAGAGCCCAAATAATACCATGAATACCTTGCAAAATTACTGTCCTTAAAAGCTCAAGGTTATTTCTGTTGCAAGTCACCACTTTAGGGAGTTCTCAGTAAGTTAACTAAAGCCAGTGGTCACAAAACAATGAAATAATATGTAGCCACCATGGCATTTATAAAGACTAAAATTTAAAAGCTATGTTTCGGAAGACTATTTAACTATGATGAAAAATATATGTTGTTGTTGTTGCTGATTGCCGTCAAGTCAAACACGACTCATAGCAACCCCATGAACAGAAAACCTGAAGCCTTTCTATAACTATCATAGTTTTTCAAAGTTCAGAGTTTCCAGAGGCATGCTGTTTAGGAAATGGATGCCACTCCTGCTTCCTTCCAAACCGGTCTTAAACTGACTGAGATAAATGTCTATTATACAAAATAGCAATAAATATTCATTTATATTACATGGACAAGGAGTCCATTATTGTCCAAAAAATTGAAAACACTAATAGGTAGGTTAAATAATAATTATTTTAAAATCCTGCCATTGCTATGGAGTAAACTCCCACTCACAGTTACCCTACAGAGCAGAGTAGAACTGCCCAAAATGATTTCCAAGGTTGTAATTTTTACAGAAGCCACATTTTTGTCCTTCAGATCAGCTGGTAGGTTCAAACCACCGACCTTTCCGTTAGGTTTGACAACTGTGCTATTGTGGGTTTTCTAATAAGTATTTACATATGAAGGATCTGTTCACTTTTCATGGCAACTGAAGATCCCTCAGGGAGGGTGGCTTAGTCTGTGCTGCTAACCCAAAGGCCACTCCTCTCTGGCAGTTTCAGTGTACCAGTAGCTCTGCAGGAAAAAATTGAGAACCTCCTTCCATTCAATTTACAGCTACAGAAACTGCCTGGAGGTCAGCTATGAGTCCGTTCCAATTCCACAGCGATGGCTTTGACTCGACTTTGAAGATCCCCCAGTCAATCTATCAGAGATAACTAGACCTCAGATTCCTGATACCAGATGTCAAGTGAACAGAAAGCAGATACTAGCACAAAGTGGTTAAGTCTGTGTAACAAATTTATTCTTTACTATATCTTCCATCTATGTTCTAAACTAGACACAAATATTATTCATCATTTATGTTCTACTTATATCTGCACTTTCACTTTCTTTCATTATCACGGATACAAGTCAATTTTAATGTAAATCTGCCTCTCCTTTCTTCTCTGCTGGCATACACCTCACTAGCATGTGGCCCTCAGTCAGTCCTGGGAATCATGAAGGTCTGCCTTCTCCTGATAGATGCAGGCAGAAGGGCAAAGAATGCATGCACAGAGCCAGGGGAAAGTGAAACTTGTCTGGGAAGAGGTTGCTGCGGCCAGCTGTGAAGCAACCTTCCTGGTTCTTACCTGGGCGACTATATCCTGCTGGCTCCTGGGTGGGGATTGGGTACATTGGTGATGGACCAGGATAGAGGTGGGGGGCCTGTGGGTGCCCATAAGAGTTCACTGCCAAAATAAGACATGAGTCACTTTAAGTGGGTCCCAGTAGAGAAGAAAGAAATGTCTTTCTCCCTTCTTTGCCCTGCAGAAACTATCAGCTCTTAACACTTAAGGTATGAATTGTGAAGATCAAACAGGAAATATCAAAGGATGACACATATAGTGTCATGATCATCAAGTGCCTCTCATATCACTGACTAGAAGATCATATAAATGTAGAGAATCATCACCTGTACCTGATATGACCCAGGTGGGGTTACTTAGATTCACATTTAGAAAAGGAATTTTCTCTGGAAAAGCTTTTCCCTTAAATTCTGATCTTTCAAATACAGTTCTACAAGGGATTCTTGTAGTCTGCTTCTTTTGCAAAAAAGCCCATGATTTTTTTTAAGTATAAGATTTTACTGACACAATAGATGTTCAGTTGACTTGATGAACAATTCCTACTGTTTGCTAGATTAAAATGATTTTGTGTTTCTCTCTGCCCTTCTCATCATAGTCTCTTGTCCTTGGTAACGTGTTCTGGGCAGTACCTTGGTTCATGGCAGATTCCTGTTTGCCACTGGTGAGTGCACAGGAGTCAGCAATCCGAGCAGAGGCTGGTGTCCGGTGGGAGCCGCCTTGTGGGGGAACATGGCCAGTCTGGGTAAGGAAGTGGTTGAGGGAGTCACAGAGATTGGCAATATGATGCTGGTCGAGGCTCCAGTTCTTCTGATCTGCCTGTCGCAGGCTCTCCATCAGTTCTACCAGAGGAAGACAACCAATGCTAACTTTGCAGAGACACTGAAACCATTACTAGATCCATTCCTCACTGTCCCACACATTATCATAAAGCAACATGAATTAACAACATGAATTAATAAAAATTTGAATTTTTTTAGAGCCTTACATTTTTAAAGTCTCATTCTATTTGCTCCTTACTAAATTCTCATTATTATTCTTATCTTATTGTTAACAAACAAAATTTAAAAGCTATTAAGTAAATTAGCCATAGTCACACTGTAGGCAAGGGATAGAAAATAGTGGCCCTGACCATTGAAACTTTTGAGCTGTGGTGATTCAGTGGCAGAATTTTCACCTTCCAAGATGGACACCTGGGTTTAATTTCTAGCTAACCTATCTCAAGTGCAACCCGAGGAAGCTTACATGTTGCTAAAATGCTAGCCTGGTCTCTCAGTAAAGCTTTTAGATTAAGACTACAAAAAAAGAACTGGTGATCTACTCCCAAAAAAATCAGTCAATGAAAGTTTTATAGATCCTAACAGTCCAATTCCATTGCACACGAGGTCACCATAAATTGGAGGCCAACTGTTATTGGCAGGTGACAACATAGAACCCTAGGTTTCTAAATTCTGAGGAGCTTTTCTTTTCTGAAATAATAATGACAAAAATAAACTTCTGCCATATTTTACATTAAGGCAAAATTAATTTCAATTTATTTCTAAATAATATTAGTATTATCCATCTCATATAATATGGAAGAGAAATAATGAAATACTCAACCTCTAAACGTCACTTAAATTCCCTAGTTTCTACTGGAGTTTTCCCGCCTCATCATGTCTCTCTCTTGCCTCCACGCAACACCCTTTAAATCACTAACCTGAAAACTGTGACTGCTCAATGCTGGACCAATTGAGCCGATTCACCATCTTGAAGCTTTCTTTTAAGGAGTCAATATTGGAGCACCAGTCAGGAGGAAATGCTGAAAGAGGAGAGAAAGAGAGTAATTAAGATAGACTGAAGTACAAGCTGCAGCCACTCAGAGCATACAAGCAAGATTCTTCTATCTACATGGGCAATTAATTACATCATCAAGATAATTTTGAGATTTTCCTCATGGGTGGTATAAACAGTTAATACACTTGACTGCTAATCAAAAGAGTGATGATTTGAGTTTACTCATAGGTGGCTGAAAGATTTTATTTTTCAAATAAAATCAGCCATTCAAAATACTATGGAAATATTCTCAACAACAAAACAAATTATTTTTTGAAAAAGAAAGAAGATGAAAAAAAAAGAAAGAAGAAAAACCTATGAAGCACTGTTCTATGCTGACACATGAATCGGTCACTATGAATCAGAATGGATTTGAGGCAACTGGTATAGATTTTGGTAGATAAAGCTACCTATGGTGATGTTTGTTATGTGCCATTGATTTGCCTGCAACTCATAGCGACCCTATGTACAACAGCTGTGTAGGCTAACCTGTCCTGAGCCAGTCTCACTGACTCGGACACACCTAGCCCCACTGCCCTAGTTACTGTATCAATCCATCTCATGGAGGTCTTCCTTTCCTTCGCTGTCCCTCCATCTTTCTGAGCACAATGCCCTTCTCTGAGGACTGGTCCCTCTGGCCATGTGCCCGAAGTATGTGAGATGAGCTTCAAAATCCTAGCCTCCAAGGAGAAACTTGGTTTCACCCTCTCCAAGACAGACCTATTTGGTTTTTTGGCAGTCCAGGGTATGTTCAAGACTCTTCTCCAGAACCACAACTCAAAAACATCAATTACTCTTCAATCATCCTTAGTTATTGTCCAGCTCTCTGATACATAGCAAGTAATTGTAAAGACCGTGGCCTGGATCAGGTGCACCTTAGTCTATAGACTGATAGCGTTGCTCTTCAGTACTCTGGAGAAGTCTCTGAGAGCAGATTTTCCCAGTGCAATTTGTCTTGTGATTTCCCGACTGCTGGTGCCAACAGTATTGATCCATCCATTATGATCTGCCAATAGGCCCAGTGGTAAGAATCTTTGTTTTCTTGATGTTTAGCTTCAATCTATATTGAAGACTACAGTCCTCGACCTTCTGCAGCAAGTCTTCAGGTCCTCTTCAGTTTCAGCAAATAAGGTTGTGTTATCTGCATAATGTAGGTTGTTGATGAGTCTTCCTCCAATCCTAATGCCACATTCCTCATCATAAAGCCCAGCTTCCCGAATGATCTGTTCTGCATATAGACTGAAAAGGTATAAAGACAAAACGCATCCCTGACACATTCCTTTCCTGGTTTTGAGCTATGCAGTGTTTGCGTGCTCTGTTCTGAGTACTGTTTCCTGGTCCGAGCACAGGTTTTGCATGAGCACAATCAAGCGTTCCGGGATCCCCATTCTCCTCAAGGTTAGCCACAATTTGTTGTTATGTGGAACTAAATGGTTAAGTGCTCAACTAGTAGCTGAAATGTTGGTGGTGTGAACCCACCAGAAGGTCCTTAGAAGATAAGTTTGTCATCTGCCTCTAAAAGGTCACAACCTTGAAAACTCTTATACCAGTTTTACTCTGCACCTCCTGGGGTCACAATGTGTCAGAATCGACAAAACTGCAATTAACAACAACATGCTTTTGATAAATCCAGTCTATCAAAACAGAAACTCACAGCCATCAAGTCAGAACTAACTCATAGCTGATGCTCTGGTGGGTTTCCAGAGGCTGTAAATCACATAAGAAGAGACTGACTGTCATTCTCAAAGTAGCAGCAGTAGATGTGAACCACCACAGAAGCAGGACCTTCAAGCTAGCAGTACAACTCTTTATGAATTAGGCTACCAGAGCTCCCTAATCCAGTTCATAGGCAAGATGATATATGTAAAACAACTCCAATTTGACCAGATAGTCTATAATACAGAGGCTAAGTAGCAACTTTCCTTCACTCAGATAAGCGCTCTCTTGGGGGAGAGAACCTTACACCTCAGAACATCAATATTTAGATGTTCACCAGTAACCTTGTAAACTTGTGCACCCATATAAATTGGAACTAGAGGACCGTTTCATTCTGTCCCACCTCCTCCTTACTCACCAAAGCCAGCACTGTTGATAGGAGCCTGGCCTTGTGCCTGTTGCTGTGGAGGAGGTGGCTGCTGGGCAGGGTGGGAGTGGGGATGGTGCTGATGAGGGTGGTAGCCTCCATGCTGCAGTGGGGGTGGGTGCATGGTCATCACTGGGGGAGGCCCGTAGCCTTCAGCGCCAGCCTGCTTCCCCCCTGGTGCCGTACAACCATCTGGGTTTGGGGTGTGTAGTGGGGGAGCACCTCCTACAGTTGAGGGGCCCTGGGCTGGTGGCGGCTGCTGCTGCTGTGGCTGTGACTGTGGAGGAGGCGGCTGTGGTGGCGGCTGCTGCTGCTGTTGCTGTTGAGGTGGTGGCTGCTGCTGCTGGTACATGTAGTAGTTGTTAGAGGGCGGCATGTCCCCGAGGAGATTCGAAAAGCCTGTAGAAAGGGGAAGAAGCAGGCAAGTGGCATGGGCAAAACATTTTCACTTAACAGGATGTTTACCAGGTTGAGAGAGAAGGCCTCAGACTACAACGGCAGAATCCAACAATAAGGGTGCAGGAGAGTAGTCAGGATCCTTTTGCCTCACCTCTCTGCCTGGTATGACAAACAGGAGAGCAATTAGATTAGATGAGGGCTTTGACAATGTGGGGGCTACTAAAAGTTCAGGAAAAAAGATCTACCTGTACCTCTATATAACACTTTTTAGAAATTCTGGTATAAGTCTGGAGTCATAGTTCCAGAAGAAATGAGATGACAAGTACAAAGGAGAATAGAAATAAGACATAGTCATTGGGTACCTACTCTCTCCTTTTCCTTACTGTCTCTACACTCTTATCCTTCTACTCACTAACATCAGAAAGTGCGTGGGCGAACATTAGAGAAGGGATGGATTCATCCCTCCAGATGATCAAGCAGGCAAGGACATTCTCGGGAGGCCAGCAGCTCTCAGTAGTGCTTGTGTTGAGTGAATACTCTGGCAGCCTCACTGCATCTAACTTTTTTCATTATTTCTTACAGTCACTGCATGCTTCTCATCTCTACTCAACCAAGCTCCTAGCTGATTAATTTCTTAAGGAAACGCTACCATCTTGAAATAACTCTAGTACTAATGTCCTGGAATAGAAGAGATTCATAACAGCACTTAACAGAAGATGCTTTAGATAAAAGATGTTATTAAAAAAAGTTCTTAACCACTTTTAAGCATTCTATTTAGCTTCCACTGCACAAAGCAAGAAGATATACCTCTACTTTATTTATTTTTTTTTTTTAAAAAGGGGGGGCAGGAATTTCATAGGGCTAAGCCAAGAGATAGATCTTTCAAGAAGCTTCCCAATTTTTACTTGAGAACAGAACTGGATAATATCTGGGTTACCATTGCTGGATATTTTGATCGAAGATTCTTTAGAAAGAATTCTTGCCAAAAGCTGAGAAATACAGAATTTCAAATTCTCATGGAATCAAAACTTTCTAGAGTCACAGAAGATAGACAAATCCCCCAAATTATTGTCTCAATACAATCTTTAAACCTTAAACTAAAAATATCCCCTTATGCCTTCTTAAAACTCAAGAGTAGTTTCACTTAAGCAGTAAAGAATGTTTGCCTTAAGCACTGTGCTTTTTAAAGACCTATCGCATTTACTCACTGCCGCAGATCTGGTTCTGACTCATGGATAACCCTCCACTGGATTTTTCAAAGCTGTAAATCACAACAGAAGGAGACTGCTCATCTTCCTCCCAAGGAGTTGCTGATGGATTCTAACTGCCAGAGACGCCTAGCCTTTAGGTGAGCAGTGCAATTAGCTACAGCCTATGAATAAAACTGACAACAGCAACTTCAAACATTAAGACGTTCAGGAGGCAGTCCATTTATGTTTGTGGGGAAAGAACAGCCAGGAAAAGGGTGAAAATGTCTGCACAACTCAAAAAATGTGTCTGTTATCCTGAGCTGTAGATGTAGAAATTGCTGGGTTCGTATATGTTCAACAATAACAAAAATAAACCATATACAGAACAAGAAGTAAATAAATAAATCTTTCAATTACTCTCATACCATAATCAGGAATATATGAATGTGGAAAAGATATTAACTGATATTAAAGGGTATAAATAATTATGTTGAGATTAGGGATATATACTGAAACAACATTTCTAAGTGAAATGGCATTGCTGTCTTGGAATTGTGTGGTTTTATTTTTTTTTTTCATTAAAGTAAAACTTCACTAACTGAGACATGCTTTAAAATATTCTGATTTAAAAAAGGAGTTGATGGGTAAATCAAAAAAATTTAACAAAACATTGGTAACTGTTCCTGTTGGGTGATGGGTACATGAAGTTTTTACTAGACTATTTCCTTTGCTTATGTAGTTTGAAATTTGTCGTAAGACAACACATGTTTTAAAAAAAGAGAAGTAAATTGTTGTCACATTGAAATAGAGAATTTAGGGGAGTGCATACTACTGCTGTCTCCTAGTGGCCACCTTCTAAATACAGCTGACAGCCATAGAATCACTGCTCTTAATTTTCTGAAGCCTAAGCCAGAACAGGTCAACTACTAACAAGTTTAGTTCAAGATATATTTCTCTATCTGGAGATCAACCTCTCCTTGTGTGAAATAGAAAAACGATGGAAGAAAAGAGAAAGTCTCCACTTATTACAAAATGCAATGACACCCAGGCCCCCGACTCCAGACTTACCATGCTGAGAAGAGGAAGAGGACTTCTCCAGCATGGATTTGTAGAGGTTGCGGAAGGACCAGCTTAGATCCTGAAAGTTGATCTCTGAGTAGGAGAATTTGAAGTCATGGTTGGTGTTATAGAGAGGAGGGGGGCCCTCAGCACCCTCTCGGCCTGGAGCCCCTGCTGCCACTGCTCCACCATCCACTGATCCTGTACCCTACAAAAAGAAGGAAGAAAAATCTGATGCACATCGTATAACCAGCACAATCCTTCACTGGCCACCAAGTGTCCCCAGCCTGTCTTCTTGACCTCCTTTCTAACTCATCAATAAAACTCAGGCTCACTGCTATCTAGTTGGAACCAACTCATAGCTGACCTTCTACTGGGTTTCTAAGGCTGACTGTTCATCTTTCTCCTGTGAACTCTTTAATAATCCAGTATCATTTCTCTCACTGTTTGTTATCTTGATCTAGCTTTTTTCTCTCACCATTTCTCATTTCTTCTCTATGTACCCTTTTTCTATGCTACAGTAATACACTTCTCATAACCTTTCAATTTTCATCCTCCCTTTTTTAGTCTCCTCCATCCCAATCCTTCTCAAAGTTCAGTTATGCTTTTCTTTTTCTCTCTACTATGTGTGTGTGTGTATATATATATATTATATATACGAACAGTGCTCAGGCTGTTCGTTCATAGGGTCGCTACGAGTCGTCTACGACTCGACGGCATTAAACGACAACAAGAACATGTATACATTTGTTATTTCCCTCTTTCCGTTTTCCTTCTTTCCTAATTTGTCTGTCTGATATAGCATACTAATCAGTAAACAATTCTAAAGGGGAGACACATGAATCCATTCAACCATCCACCAACCACCCATCTTTACGCCACCTCCGCTTGCTACCTGGCTGTAACTGGCAAGAGATGTGGGGCTCTGAAGAGACATCTGAGGATTCCCCTCTGGAGGCAGGGAGGATTCTCCACTCCCTGGAATGCCTCCCCGTGGGCTCTTGCTTGCCTCCTGTTCTGGTGAGTCTTGAGAGAGCTGAGGGTTGTGACAGAAGAGAAAGCTATAAGCAGAAGATAAGAATCTTCCCCAAACCCATAGTTTTGACTTGGCCGGCATTATTTTTTACCCAAAATATAGGAAAGGAATGGAAACACAGGAAAGACAGTAGGAGGAATATAGAAACAGCATGTCCTTGTGAAGTGAAAACTTACATCATCATCTGGAGGATGTCTTCTCTTTCGGGAGATGTCAGGGCAAGTGTCAATTGTCCAATATGAGCCCTGAAAGAAGAGTCCATGCCCCACAGAGAATAAAATCATTATATATGGAAGTGTCTACCTTTGGGAAAGTAAAAATTTTTAATTCCCATATAAAATATGTTAAGAAAAATGATTGGAGATTCGCACAGTCTCCTCAGGGTATTGGCTATTGTTGAAAAAGAAGTTTGTCTTAAAAGATCACTGAATATGATAGAGGTACCTTTGGGTTCTAATACAAGACTCTTGTGGAGAGGCAGAACAGTAGCGTCTAATTTCAAGAGATGAAAAAGTCCAAACCACCCTTCTCTTCCTTTGTGACCAGAAAAATGACCCTCTTGGACTTTAAAAGCTATGTTTTTCAGATAAGAAAACGATTCTGCTATTTATCCTTCGGAGTTTTGAGGGGAAAACCCTAAGAATGTTGACGTAAAAACTCCCTTATAAGGTTATTATGTCCAACCTTTACATCTAAAAAGAGTGTCCTCCAAACACACACATAAAGAAGGGAGCAGAGTCAACCTTAATATAAATATACCTATTAAAAATTATTTCACAGTGTTCCTTAGTCACTCATTCTTGTAGATGCCCACAAGTTTAACAACCAAGCTCTTCCTTTAAGTAAAAATAAAGCTGCTTCTCTCATTAACAAGATTTCCTCTTCTGGGTAATTAAAACAGCCAAGCTGACTCTGGACTAGCAATATTTCTCTCTCCTTCCTGTTCCTTCTATTAATGCTTGCAGCAGCCTCTCACCTTCCCAGGATCATCTCGGGGTCTGGGCACCTTCCGGAAACACTTGTTGAGAGAAAGGTTGTGTCGAATTGAATTCTGGAGAAGGAAACAGAGTCAAATTAGAGCTGAGCACTGTGTGAAGCAAGAAGTTCTCCTGTAGGATACATAGGGTCAAAAACACACTACACAATAAATACAGTTCAAGTATCAGGGTAAATTTATCACCTCTTAACTCTACTGATGGAGGAAATGACCTATTAGATGGTGCTACAGATTGCACCGTGTCCCCCAAAATGCAGGTGGTAAATCCTAACGTCTGTGCCTATGATTATAATCCCAGTTGAAAATTGGTTCTGGTTTTATGTTAATGAAATAAGATTAGCATAAGGTGTATCTCGAATCAAAGTCTTTTGAAATATAAAAAGAGAAAGAAGTAAGCAAAGCAGACATGGAGGTAGAGACATGCTAGGCCACATCAAGATTGCCCAGGAGCAGAATTTCAAAAGAGTTCAAGAACCTTTCTCCAGAGCTGGCAGATAGAGCCTTCCCCTAGAACTAGTACCCTAATTCTGGACTTCTAATCTCCTGAACTGTGATAAAAATTAAAAAGGTTTAAAGCTACTTTCTCTGTTAGAGTAGCACGAGATAACTAAGGCAGATTTTCAAGAGAAATGATATGAGAAAAACAAGTAAGTTAAATTGATGAGAGGTAATCACTATAGATTTCATTACAAAATGCTTCTGGAAAGCTGATTATATTGTTTCCACTCAACTGACAGGTAAACTGCCCTAAATTCACATTTAGGAGGGAGGGGAAATGTACATCTGCATAGTTCCTCAATTCACTCTATCTATAGCAATAATATGTTTAAACTACTTATAAATTATGAAGGAAATAAGGGCACAGGTCATTTTTGTTATTATCACCCCAGCCCCATAAAATGGTCACATTTGGTGGAAAGAAATAGTGGTATGTAGCGATTGTGGTAACTGGCAGGAATAAATTCATGAAGGAAAAGGAAAATGCTCTCAAGAGACTCTGATTTGTCATCTGATCTGTATGCAACTGGTGATTTACAGAATAAGAGAACTACATAAAATCTCCAATACTACTTAACAACTGGCAGTCAAGTTGCGGCTTCAAAGGACTGACAGCATTAATCTTCCTTCTTTGCAGGAAGAAAAGTCTCCTTCCTTCACTTGTAGTTGAACAACTTATCATTTACTAGGATGGCTGATCAACTGTTGGTATAAAGAACCTATTTTTTTTTTAAGATGATGACTACATGCAGTGAAGTTATGCCAATCTGAAAAGAATACTACCTCCAGATAGGAGCAAATGTCATACTTCGTTTAGTGACTTAAAAGATAGTAGAGTGGCAATAAGTATCCGTGAAATGAATTAATACCCTTTTTGAGGAATCAGAAAGGGTCTCACGGGCCATAGTTACCTGCCATTCATTCTCACAAGTATACTTAGTGGCTTGGCATCACTAGTTTCCCTGAAAAAGCTTATGAAAATTGTTCCACTCTGAAAAAAATGTAGATGGAAGACAGGAAATTTTCAATTCAACTATCTTTGAAACAAATCAAAATGAAACAGACTAGGTTCTGGGGGAAAATAAAGTAGTAAAAGGTTGTTAAATGCTAAAAGTGATCCTTGATCATCAATCATCGCACCTTCCAGCCAATGCCAGCATTCTTGTAATAGGGGAAGTTGTCACAGATCCAGCGGTAAATCTCACTGAGGGTCATCTTCTTTGCTGGAGAAGAGTTGATGGCATAGGTGATGAGGGTGGCATAGCTGTACCGTGGCTTGCCATCTTGGTGGACTGCAGCTTCATCTTTGCTTAGGGTGGCATTGGGGTCTGTTGGTGAGCCTGGTGGGCACTTGCGGCTGCCCCCTGGAGGCACAGCCTGGGAGGCACTCCCAAGTTTCTCAATGGTAGCTCGGAGGGTCAGCTGGGGGAGCCAGTCTATGGAGGTAAGGCTACTCTCTAGGTCAGAAGCCATTGTACTTCTGGGTTCTGCAGAGAAGAGGACAGAGGGGAGAGAGAAATAAAATAGATAAATATTCTCTCTAGTTCTTAAGACACATAATATTCAAACCCTAGAGAAATAAACTTCCTTCTCACTAGAATTCCTGTAGGAGACTCCTCTCATGAGGCGCGCTCACTCAGCCTGGTGTAGCTAATCTACTCATTCACAATTTGATCCACTGCCAATCAACTACCAGATGGTTGTTGTGTGCCATCGAGCTGCCTGCGACTCACAGCGACCCTATGTACAACAGCCCTAAACCCTGCCCTGTCTCTGACTTACCTACCCCCATTACCCCAGTCACTGAATCAATCCACCTCTTAGAGGGTCTTCTCCTGCACTGTCCCTCCACCACCCCCAAACATGATGTCCGTCTCCAAGGACTGGTCCCTCCTTGCAACATGTCCAAAGTATGTCAGTCTGACCAGATGGTAGAATAATATTTATTCTATTTTTCCAATCAAATCATGACCAAGGAGACTAAAGGTGAGATCACTCACCAAACAGATATTATCTTGATTCTCTTTATTTATAACTCTACATTAAAAAAGCTTACAACTGTACCTAATACAGAAAATACATAGAGAACTTGGTAGTCTAGTAGGTAAGAAGCTGTGTGGCCAACACAATGGCACACAGTTCAAATCCACTAGCTGCTCCAAGGGAAAAAGATTATCTCTTGCCATGTACTTTATAGCCTCTGAAAACTAGCTGGAGAATCTGCTGTAAGTCTGTTCCAACTTGACAGCACATAACAACTTTTAGTTAAAAATTAATTTTAATGAACATTTACAGAGACTTTCTAATTTCATTCATTCACTGCTGTATTTTTCTCCCTGCCCACCCCTTCCCCAACCCCCCAGTTTGTTCTTCTCTTTGAAAAGGAAAAGAAAAATTCTTTCATTGGTATATAATTCCCTCCCCCCTCCCCTACAAGTGCACTCCACTATGCAGCCTTCATTCTGGACTCTTGTCATGACCATAATACCAAATCATATATCAATTTTAAACAGTTCTCTCCCTCATCTGTTTCAATGTAGTATACATTATTTATCCAATCCTTCTTATCTCACCCCAACCCTGATGTCAGTCCCATTCTACAACAGTAGCACTATGTGTAATATTTGTCCTTTTGTAACTGTGATATTTCACTCAGCATAATGTCCTCCCAGGTCACCCAATTTGAATAATATTTCATGAGTTCCTTGTTTTTCAATGCAGTGTAGTATTCCATTGTGTGAATATACCACTGTTTCTCTATCCATTCAAAGAGTTGGAAATAACCTAAGTGCCCATCAATAACAACTTTTATATATAAAAACCAAACGAGCTTAATCAAAGTTAATTCAAACTCAAGGTGATCCAATGTATTGCATGTCAGAATTACATTCCATAGAGTTTTCAAGGAGTCAGATCACCAGGATTTTCTTTTGAGATGTCTCTACGTGTGTTTGCTAACCTTTGTTAACAGTCATGTACTTAAAACCAACTGAGCCAGTAAAAACTCAATATATGTATACAAGTGTATGTGTGTATATAATATAGAAATAATACAAAAACATTTGGATACCAGGTAAGATTAGCCAAGGTCTATTCTCTAATCATGTGATGGTTTTTATAATACTTTTACAAAACATCCACAGATAAATAGCACAAGCGTACAAAGGAGTCTAAATAGGCACAAATATGTATTAATGCAGCACACATTATCCCTTTTAAAGCAATTTTATATTTAAAAAAAAAACAAAAACAAACAAACCACTGCCATCAAGTGGATGCTGATCCTATCAACCCTGAAGGGCAGAGCAAAACTGCCCCATTGGGTTTCCGAGGCTTTAAATCTTTATGGAAGCAGACTGCCACATCTTTCTCCCGCAGAGCTGCTTATAGGTTCTACATTATGAGCGCTCACTGTTTCTTACTACACCTACATGTGTATAAGAGACATATTAGCTCTATCCCAAGCATAAATTATATATGACAACCACCAAAGGGCAGATCCAAACACACATACATATAGTAGGCTACAAACACAGAGTCACAATTAGATATGCAGCATACATTACCAACAGCACAATGTCATACACAGAGATAACAGATCCTGAGCACACAGCTGCCCTCACACCTTTAAAGCTACCCCTTGCTTGTTCCCGCCCACAGACACCAACACCAGGAAGAAGTCATCAGCAAGGACCTCCCACCTCTCAGCCTGCTGGGCTTCACAGAGCCAGGGAGACACCCAGCTGTGTGAGCACCGGTAACAATCAGATAGCCTGGCTAAAAATAGCCACTCTGGGGCTAAGAGCTGGCTCCCTTCTCCCACCCCCCTCCTCCCTCCTTCCTTCCCAGCCAGGCACGCACGCACGCTCTCACTGCACCTCCATGCAAACTCCTGGCGCTGCCAGACCGCCCACGCCTGATGTTTGCACGCCCTGCCACCTCCCACACAGCTTGGGCGCTCTTGCTGGCAGAGAGGTGTAGCTAGAGTGGCATCTTGGTGGGGGAAGGTGAAGAACGATGGGTGATAACTGTGTTTCAGGGTCTGGCAAGCCTGGCAGGAACCACCTGGTAGCCATTTGGCATTCCTCCCCAACTGATGCCAGCAACCCCCTGAGTACTTGCTGTCTAACAGGTTTGTGCCTGATCAGCCTCCTCGTTGCAGCTAGTATTTCTTCCACAGTACCTCTGCTGACCATCCCACCAGGGCCATCTCTCTTGAGAAGCCTGGGCTAGAATGTCTCAGACATATTTATGGATGTCATCGCTAAATCTACATCCAGATAGAAGCACGCACATACCCGCAAATCCACACTTTTGCAACTGAAAGTTAAAAGCTCAGTCTCACCTATGACTACCTCCCTCTTGACTTCAACACAGAGGCTATCCTAGTTAATGGATTTTCTCCTCATGACACTCCTTTTCTAAGAGTCAGCATGTATACCAACTCTCCTCACAATCTTTGCATGTGTACACAGCTACCCTGTTCTGTACACCTAAGAAGCAGCTGAAAGAAATATCATAGTGCCCCAGAGGCCTGGGCAGCAAGAGTCTCAGTTGCATCCCAGAACTGCTCAATGGGAGAAAGGGGGGGGGGCGATTAAAAACAGATTCATAAAGGGGTTTTCCCCCCTTACCCTTAGCTCCTCTCCACCACCCCTTACCTGAAACCATGGAAACTTGGAAACTAGGAGGCACATGTAATCAATCATTCCAAGAAGTCTCAGACCTTCTAGCACCTTACTTTTACTTACTAAGTCAAAACAGTACAACCCTTGGGGTATAGCAGATTCTTGTGGTGGTACAATAGTCCTACAGATGGGTTATACCCATAGATGGGTGGAAGGGTAAAATGCCATCGAGCAAATTTCCAGTGATCAGAGTTTTCCCAGGCCCTCCCTAGAAGAGGCTTGTACAGAAGTTTTAAACTTAGCTTATGCAAAAAATCCCAGAGAAGCTCATCTTAAAAGCAAAGATGTAAAAACAAAACAAAACAACAAAAACCCAAAGATGTCAGTCAACATGGGAAAGAAGTCATCATTAGAAAGTTAACATGGGAAGAGGCATCGCAACTGGTGGATTTGAACCACCTGTCTTTGGCTTGGCAGTGAAACTCCTTACCCTACGAGGCTGCCACCAGGGTTCCACAGAGAGAGCTTACAAAACCCATTTGGTACACACCAGTCACTGTAAATTCCTGGGAGGGAAACCTTCTTAGCCTCATTGTTCTATAGCTTTCTCTACTCTTACTGGATTAGGGCTAAAACTGAAAAATATCAAACTCACTGTTATAAAATTGTTTCCAACTCCTATTGACCATATAGGACCTATAATGTTTCCAGAAATCTGCTGGTAATTCAAACCTAACCCTTTCAATTAGCAACCAGGTACTTAAATACTGTACTAGCAAGGCTCCTTCCAGCTTTTAACTTTTGCCCTTCTCCAGTACCCTCCAGATACTGCATCAGCACTCAAAGTATATTCCAGTCTTACCAGCTTCAAGAAGCCTATGGCAGTCTGAGCCTCCAGACCTTTCAGCACCATTCTCATTTAACCCATCCCACTTCCTCACTCTTTAACTTCCCCATTCTTGAAGGGCAGCACAGGTTATATAGGTCTTCAGAGATTGAAGTTCCTTGGTTCTATTCCTACCGCTAACACTGAGTCACTAAGTATCCCCAACCACCTCTTGCTCCCTCTTGATGCCTCGGTTTCCCCCTTCAATAAAAGGAATGACATCAGAAACCCTGCTTAAGCTTAATCCCCAGAGGGAAGTGAACAGAGCTTAACAAGCTCCTGGCTGCCTCGCATTCCACGCTCCCAAAAATTATGACACGAGGCTAATATTCCTGGCTATTATTAGAAGGACAAACAAGAGGTACTTCCATTTCTCAGTCCAACCAACCTAGTTACCCAGACCGCTCTGCAGGTGGGCCTTGTGCCACTGGGCTCGGCAGAACCTGAGTCAGGCCACATTCTCTGAGTGCTGGAAGGCTGAAAGGAAATACCCATAAGAAACTGAGAAAGGCAGCCAAAGGGCAGGCTCCATCACATCCACAGGACGTCTAATGACAACTACAGTACTGGGAGGAAGACAGACAAATAGAAAGGCATTCTGTTGGCATGTAAGGCAGATTCTGGTTTCAAAATAACAAGCATAGTTTTCTTGTCATTTTATCCAAAAGGCCAGTAATTGTTTTCTGTAAGGTGTCAAGGTCAGTTATTAAGAAGTGATAACTTCCTGATCTGTATACAGTGCCAAAACTAATATGGTAGTGGCAAGTGAGCCACATGAGGACTCGGGCTACCAAGATTTCAATTTTGGTTCCACCACCTACTGGCTGTGTAACCACAGACACGTTACTTAACTTCTCTGTCTTAGTTTCTTCATCTGTAAAATAGAGATGATAACTGTGCCTATATCATAGGTTGGTTGTGAGGACTACATTGAGTTATTTATAAAGCACTAGATAAGTGCTTCATTAAGTGTAGCTACTATTATTTCTGGATGGGGGTATATACACAAGTAGTAGAAATTTAAAATTAGAAAACAGTGGAGTTCAGACTAAAAGCAGCAAGCCTGCAAGGGTTTGGATTACAAAGCCCCTAAGAAGTCTGCCATGGTTTTCAGGACATCAGAATTTCAAACTTTTTCCTTTGCAGATAATTATCACTTGGAAGTACTGACCAATGTGAGAACTAGAAAAACTCCAAGTATGAAGGAATGAAGTAATAGCACTTTTTACCTTTCAGAGGGAACTAGACCTAGTCATAAGGCCCGAAAAATCACTCATTGCCGTCAAGTCAGAACTGACTCATAGTTGACCCTCTAGCAGCTTTCCGAGGCTGTAAATTGCACTGGAGGAGACTGTCCATCTTTCTTTCTTAGAGTTGCTGGTGGATTCCAACCACCAAAAAGGCCTGGCCTCTGGGTTAGCAGTGTAACTTCCTCGGGGCAATGCCAGGAGAGCTCCAGCTAAGAACACTGCACTCTAAATCACGGTTAACCCAAACCAACAGCCAATCACTTCTTAGGGAGGGCCAGTTCAAGTAGATGGCAATGGTAGACCTACAGCTGTGATGATATAGTTCACCCTAAGTTGTTTAAGAAGTTGTATCTGGTAAAAATATTTTTCAATAAACAGGCTGCTGTTATGCCCAAGACTTAAAAAAAAAAAAGACACAGGAGGAGGTGGTTTTGGAATGAAGAGTCTTTTGAGATCAGTGGCATCAAAAAAGAAAGCTTTCTTATTCTCCCTACAAGTGACCTTAGCCTGAAACTGGGGTGCCCTGCTGCTTAGGATGACTGTTAAGCAGGAGCACTCCACTGGCCAAGGGGAGACTAATCCTTTCCCCAAGCTGGACATTCTTAATGGTGTCTTTACCAGGTCTTGATGCAGGGATATATGCTTCTAGAGGAAGAAATTTGCAATTCCAGGTAACTGGAGACTTCATCTGAAAAGCACATACCAACTCAAAACAATGAGACAGAGCCACAGACACTTGAATTGAGAAACATAAACTTATATACTACGCAGCCATACAGACCGGCAGATTATAATCCTACATCATATACTATTACTAAGAGATTCCACGAACAAGTGGATGTATTCAAGAGATTCAACAGTCTACCCAGGGTCTAAAAAGAGAGAGGAAGCATACAAGTCCAAGTAAGGTGAAACCTTCCACTTGGCCTTGCTATGGGGCATAATAACTCTTCCTAGCAGAAGATAAGGTATTTGCTAATGGCAAGACAGGAAGGTAAGCACCCAACTAGTGGCCCAGGATCAAAAGGTAAACTCTGCTAAAAACACAGCCAGGGCTCAGCTATAGGGGTTTTATATAATATTCTTTGCCTGCTTTTTTTCTGACGATTCTGGACTACGATGATTCCAACCCCCACTTTATAAAAGAAAACTTCAATATAAAGTTTCAGGGATCCAGAATTAATCAAGAAGCAGGAAGGGAGAGAAAGTGGTCATTAGGTGATTTTCTGCAAGGAATTTCTACTATAAAATGCTCCTCAGGGGTCAAACCTCCAAATCTTGGTGGCCAGCTTACTGAGAAAGAAAACTGCAAGGGAGCTTGTACAACAACATTCTTCCTTCTCTCTATCCAGGACAGACGCCTGTGCGGCACTGGGGCAGTCAGTGCTAGGATATCAGTACTGAACTATGTATCTTTTTAGTCTTTTTAACCTGGAACCTGCAGGATGCCCATTTTCATTGGAATTTCATGGGTTGAGACATGCACCCAGCCAGAAATGAGGATGTCATGAAACGAGGCAAACAGGGGCTCACTGCCCTTCTGGCCAACTCAGTTACTGTGCGTTGGAGAGAACTGCTCTAGTGGACATTAAAATGACTTAAGGTTACAGATAAGAAAATGTAATCCAATGAAGGCCAGCTCACAAGATGCTGCTGTGAGTTTAGTAAGGCCCGCTCTCATTATGAAAAGGCCAATGAAAGAGAGTGGTGTGTGAGGCAGGGGAGGGGAGGGAGATGTATCAGTTATATACACAAAATTCGTTCTAAAAACCCAACAGTTGTCTGACATCTCTTTGACCTCAACATGGAAACATCCACTTCCCTAAAAACTGCAAATGAATTCCCTTCCTTTAGTGCTCAAACACTGAGAAACCCTTTTCTCAGTCTCTGCAGCAAGACGTGAGTTCTAATCCAGATGCTTCCGCAGAACACAGTTCCCAGAGGATTCTTTAGTGATCACTCCCACCCTTCCCAGCAAAGAAGCCTGAGTCACCACTTCAGTCCCCAAACCCACTAGTGCCTACAGGTGACAGAGAGCAGATGGAAGAAAGCACTAACCTGTCTCCAAGGTGCCCCCAGCCAAGGGCGGGAGCCACCTGGTACTGGAGTTTGAAGTTGGAGGGATTCGTCTCTTCAGAGGCTGATGAAGGGTCCCATCCTCAGTGGCTCTTCCAGGAGTAGGCTGAGCCTCCCAAGATGAGGAGGGAAAGTGGCTCCCCAGACAATGACAGACAGGGACAGGAGGTGGTGGAGGAGGAGAAGGAGGTCCTACCTGGGGAAGGTGGCACACCCCCCACACCTTGCCTGTTACCCTGGGGAGGAGGGGAGGAGCCTCTCCCAAGCAGGAGTTGTCTCCTCCCCCTTGGGGGAGTCCCCCTCCCCCCCAAACTGGATCTTTCACGGGTGGAGGGCTCTTTCTGCCTGCTGGAGATCTGAGCGGTGGGGCTCTGCTCTGTTCCACTGTCTAAGTACAAGGAAGTTAGGGGGAGGTCTTCCCCTCGCCTGAATGGTTGAAAGCTGATTCTTCTTTTCTTGGAGTGTCCTCAGCTTTTGAATGTAAGGACTCCTCTCCCTAGTAAGTATTGGATAGGGTGGAAGGTGCCTACTCCATAGGCATTTCCCTTTCTCTTTGCCTCAAAAGTCCTGAACTGTTCGGAGTGTGTGTTTGGAGGGGGGAAGGCACGTTGGGATGGTCTCACTCTGCTTTCTTTAAGAAGGATCACCCCTTTCTACTTTTAGGGTTCTTCTCCTCGGCCAGTAGGAGGGTTTTCCTCGCCTCTACGAGGGAGAGGCACGTCCCCTATAGAGGTGTCTTCTTTCCCCCGCCCGAGCGGCAGGGGTCTTCTCTCCAACAGGGGGTGGGAGATGCTCCAGTCCGCGCTCCCGCCTCCGCTCCTAGGATGCCCCCAAGAGGGTGGGGTTTTCGTACTCCCCGCTCTCCCTGAACTGGCCTGGGCAGTAAGGTCCGGGAGGCCGCAGCTCCCGACTCCGGCACTGGCTACAGAAGCGGCAGTGCTTCCTCTAGTCTTGTCCCGTCTGGCCCGCTCCCTTGGGCGCTTGGGGCTCCCCGCGCTGCCACCTCTCGGGCTTCGGCCAGTCCGGGATCCCGGGGAGCCAGAAGGCGGACTGGCAGTGTCAGGGCTCGGCTCGGGCTCGGCTCGGCTCCGCTGCAGGCCCCGGCTCCTCCCCGGCCTCC